CAGGAATGTACAGTCCACGTGTAATGAAGGTACAGGAGTAAGCTCGCTGTGTATAAGTGAGAGCATGCACAAGATGCATCAGCAGAACACAGAGAAAGCACTTTAGGTGTGGAGAGTGGGGACAGGGGAAGAGGTCAGAAGAAATGTTCTATCAGAAATGATGCTAGGACCGAGTCTTGGAGAATGAGTAGTTGGTATTCAAATGAAGAAGAAGGGAGAAGTCATTTCAGGCAGAAACAACATGGAGCCTAGAAATCCTCAGAATGTATGAGAGGAACTTCAGACGCCTCAGTATTACTGGAGAGTACAATCCAAGGAGTGGAGACCTGACGGATAAAGCTGTGGACAAAGGGAGCAGAGAGCTCTAGAGAGCTTTCTGTGACAGGCTGAGGGGTTTACACTTGTGTTGGGAAAGAGGCAGAAGCATTTTAGGCAAGGGAATGTTGCATTCTCTGTAAGTAATTCTATATAAAATGTATGAATACATTTCCAGAGAAGATGGTGTGGTCAGCAGAATTCTAAGACATGAATCCCTAATGACTTTTTTCCTTTTATAATCCTCTCTCATTTGAGTGTGGATAGAACCTGTAAGTATAATGAGCTTTCACTCTAGTGACTGTGCTATGTTATACGGTATAGCAGACCTTAAATTAGGGAGATTATCAAGGTAGGCCTAACCTAACCACACAAACATTTTAAAGGCAGAGAGTTTCTTCTCAAGCTAGTGACAGAAGGATATCTGATATCCATCAGAGAGAGTCAAAACACAAGAAGGATTTGTGTGTTATTTATTGCTGGGTTGAAGAAGGGGGAGCTATAGGACAAAGAACGCAGGCAGCCTCTCTAGAAGCTGAGTGACCCCCAGCAGACAGCCAGCAAGGATGTGGAGATCTCAAGAAACTGAATTCTGCCAACAACCTGAGTGAGCTTAGAAACAGCCTTCCCAGGAGGAAATGCAGTCCTGCCCGTGCATTGATTTCAGCCTGGGCAGAGAATCAAGCATGACATTTTTTTTTTCTTTCTATAATTTATTTAGTTTTTGTAATTTACAAACAAGTTAGTTAGCACATGGTGCGACAATGATTTCAGGAGTAGATTCCCTAAGCCCCTTACCCATTTAGCCCATCCCCCCTCCCACAATCCCTCCAGCAACCCTCTGTTTGTTCTCTATACTTAAGAGTCTCTTAGGTTTTGTCCCCCTCCCTGTTTTTATATTAGTTTTGCTTCCCTTCCCTTATGGTCATTCATTTTATTTCTTAAAGTCCTCATATAAGTGAAGTCATATGAATATTTGTCTTTCTTTGACTAATCTCACTTAGCATAATACCCTCCAGTTCCATCCACGTAGCTGCAAATGGGAGGATTTCATTCTTTTCAATTGCGAAGTAATACTCCATTGTGCATATACACACACAAACACACACATATATATATACATATACACACACCACATCTTCTTTATTCACTCATGCATCGGTGGACATTTGGGCTTGTTCCATACTTTGGCTATTGTTGATAGTGCTGCTATAAACATTGGGGTGCATGTGTCCCTTCGAAACAGCATACCTGTATCCCTTGGATAAATACCTAGTAGTGCAATTGCTGGGTCGTAGGGTAGTTCTATTTTTAATTTTTTGAGAAACCTACATACTGTTTTCCAGAATGGCTGCACCAGTTTGCATTCCCACCAGTAGTGTAAAACAGATCCTCTTTCTCTGCATCCTAACCTACATCTGTTGTTGCCTGAGTTGTTAATATTAGCCATTCTGACAGGTGTGAGGTGGTATCTCATTGTGGTTCTGATGTACATTTCCCCGATGATGAATCAGATGTTGAGCATCTTTTCATGTGTCCGTTTGCCATCTGGATGTCTTCTTTGGAGAAGTGTCTATTCATGTCTTTTGCCCATTTTTCCCCTGGATTATTTGTTTTTTGGGTGTTGAGTTTGATAAGTTCTCTATAGATTTTAGATACTAACTCTTTATCTGATATGTCGTTTGCAAATACCTTCTCCCATTCTGTCGGTTGCCTTTTAGTTTTGCTGATTGTTTCCTTTGCCATGAAGAGGCTTTTTATTTTGATGAGGTCCCAGTAGTTCTTTTTGCTTTGGTTTCCCTTGCCTCCAGAGATGTGTTGAGTAAGAAGTTGCTGTAGCCGAGGTCACAGAGGTTTTTGCCTGCTTTCTCCTCGAGGATTTTGATGTTTTCCTGCCTTACATTTAGGTCTTTCATCCATTTTGAGTCTGTTTTTGTGTATAGTGTAAGAAAGTGGTCCAGATTCATTTTTCTGCATGTCACTGTCCAGTTTTCCCAACACCATTTGCTGAAAAGACTGTCTTTATTCCATTGGATATTCTTTCCTGCTTTGTCAAAGTTACTTGGTCATACGTTTGTGGGTCCATTTCTGGGTTCGCTATTCTGTTCTATTGATCTGAGTGTCTGTTTTTGTGTCAGTACCATACTGTCTTGATGATGACAGCTTTGTAGTACATCTTAAAGTCTGGGATTGTGATCCCTCCAGCTTTGATTTTCTTTTTCAAGATTGCTTTGACTATTAGGGGACTTTTCTGGTTCCATACAAATTTTAGGATTGTTTGTTCTAGCTCTGTGAAGAACACTGGTGTTATTTTGCTAGGTATTCCATTGAATATGTAGATTCCTTCGGGTAGTATTGACATTTTAACAATATTTGTTCTTTCTATCCAGGAGCATGGAATGTTTTTCCATTTTTTTGAGTGTCTTCTTCAATTTCTTTCATAAGCTTTCTATAGTTTTCAGTGTATAGATTTTTCACCTCTTTGGTTAGATTTATTCCTAGGTATTTTATGGTTTTTGATGCAATTGTAAAAAGCATGACATTTTATACCAGACCTCTAACCTACTTCTGAACTGTGACTAATAATTGGGTGTTCTTTTAAGCCACTAAGTCTGTGGTAATTTATTATACAACAAAAAATATGCTAATATAAAGGGTGATGGTAGGACCCCAGGTTAAGAAAACTTTTAAAGTATTCCACCCTTGAGGCAAGAGAGCTGTATCAAAGGCAGTGCAGTGAACAGGAAGCGTAAGAAACCAGGAAATTTAAGGAAATAGACTTATGTAAACTTTGAATATCAGATGCTAATGGTTAGTGGGAATGAGGAGCCCTGAATGATAACCCATTTCTAGATTAGTTAACTAAGTAAAGGATGGTGCCATTAACTTATAAAAAGATAGCAAGATGAGAAACAGTTCTGGGACCAAAAGGAGATGCTTAATTCAGTTTAGTGGGGATGTCTAGTAAATAGTTGGGTACAGAATTAGGAACTTGGGGAAGAGGACCTTGCTATAGATATAGATGAGGATAAGGAGAAAGGCAACCTAATACTTACTTAAGACTTACCCTATACCAAGCACTTCCCTAAAATGTGCTAGAGATTATGAGGCATTTAATCCTCAAAGCAATGTACGAAGGTAGAAATTATTATTAAATTTATAATGTAGATGAGGAAAAAAGGCTCAGAGTGATTGAGTAATCTGTCCAAGACTGCACACATACTAAGTGAAAGAATTTTTGAATTCAAGTTTGATTAATTTGACTCCAGATTAAGAGTTAATGAGTTAAATTAATTTATGAGTTAACTCATAACTTTAATTAAATTAACTTTAATGAGTTAAAAGACTCATTCTTTTAACATTTCTCTGTTACACTTTTCTAGAGACGTAAAAGACACCAAAAGTATTAGAGGTATGACACATGCTATATCAATCACAGAACAAGGAAAAAAAGTATTGGGAATGGCAATGACTCTTCCCCTCAATACTCCTGTTTTATAATCGAGCACGAGCTCTAAGATCACTTGGAACACAAAGGGAGCTACTCCCTCCCCACATAGAGGATTTGAAATTCTTAATGTGAACTGATTCTTGAAGAACATTGAGTCCCAAAGGAAGCAATGTTACGTATTGACAAAAAGGATATAAACACAGGCTCAATAATTTCTTCCCTTAGGAGCTTGATCAAACTTTGATGCTAAATGAGCCTTGTTTTCCAAGCTTCTAAACAAGTTGCTGAGATCCACAGAGAATAAGATGAATTTACAATATTAAACTGCTGATGGTTTAGAGACATAAAGTTGATGCATTTGCCTTGCCTTTAAGACATTTTATGCAAATCCACAAACAAGGGATATTGCCTCCTCCATTTTCAAAGCCTTTGTATCCTTCAGGACAGGAAAAGGAAAAGAACACTTAGGTGTCTGGCAGTAGTGAGATCTCCAGGCAGAAGGAAGTTGGACAGCTGATTCTTTCTGTTCTCATGTTTTCATGCCCACAGCTACAGCAGGGGAGAGGTGTGGGGAGACCACCTGTCCTTCCTGAATAATTCATTGTGATTTTGAGGTAAGACTGGATGAAGGGAATGGGTAGGAGAAGTTCAGGACAATAGGGGAATTCAAATTCCTCCAGTTACTATGTGTGTGATCTTGGACAAGTTACTTAATCTCCCTGAGCCTTTTAACCTCTTAGCACTTTCACTAAGCTAGGTACTGAGTTTCTGAAAGGTAAGAGGGAGAGAGTGGATTGAACAGTGGGTGCAGTGGGTATCACAGTGACTTTACTGTCTCAGAGCTTCAGGAATTTTCATAGGAAATGGCCCCATGTCCAACTGTTGGCTCCTTTGTCCTCTGTCTGTATGACCTTGATCAACCTATTCATCTCTTCAAGATATTGCTTTCACAGGTGACCATCGCTTTTGGTGCCCATGCTAAAAGACTTCATCCTGGCTTGTGTCAGCCCAGGGGAGGTTAGGAGTTATGGGCAAGATCCGAAAACATGGACAAAAAGGACAAATGAGAAAAAAAAAGTTAAATATGGAGAGTCCTTGCCCTGGCCCTTCTTCCAGTGAGGGTGCTGTCCCTACAGACATACTTGAGCCCCAATAGAACAAGGCCTTATTCTAGAAACAAAGGATCTGAGTCCCCTCCTGATGTGACACTTCTCTCATTTCCTCACAGATCACACTCCGGCAGGGAATGGCTGTGGAAAATGACTCTTTAGTGACAGAGTTCATCCTGGTAGGATTTACAGACCTACCTCAGCTCCAGTTACCCCTTTTCTTTCTCTTCTTACTAAACTATGTGGTCACTGTGGTAGGGAATTTGAGCCTAATTAATCTAATATGCCTGAATTCTCACCTGCACACTCCCATGTACTTTTTCATTTTCAATTTATCCTTCATAGATCTCTGCCACTCTTTGGTCATTACCCTTAAAATGCTGCTGAACTTTATCTCAGAGAAGAACATCATTTCCTTTACAGGATGCATGACCCAGCTATTTTTCTTTTGTTTCTTTGTCCATTCTGAGTGCTATATGTTGACAGCCATGGCCTATGATCGCTACGTGGTCATCTGTAAGCCCCTGGTGTACACGGCCGCCATGTTCCCTCAGGTCTGTTCTCTGCTGATGTTTGGTTCTTACATGATGGGGTTTGCTGGTGCCGTGGTCCACACAGGGGACATGGTCAAATTGTCCTTTTGTGATTCTAACATCATCAACCATTACATGTGTGACATCTTCCCCCTCCTCCAGCTCTCCTGCAGCAGCACCTATGCCAGTGAGCTGGTGGATTCCATTATTGTGAGCACAGTTGTCATAATATCTGGTTTCATTATTTTCATTTCTTATGCTTTGATCCTGTCCAGTGTCCTCCACGTCTCATCAGCTCCAGGTTGGTCCAAAGCCTTCAGCACCTGTGGCTCCCACATGGTGACTGTGGGTCTGTTCTATGGGTCTGGATTGTTCACACATCTCAAGACCTCTCCCTCTGGTTCTGTGGACCAGGGGAAGTTCTTCTCGGTATTTTACACCAATATAATACCCATGTTGAACCCCCTCATCTATAGCCTAAGGAACAAGGATGTCAAGTGTGCTCTGAAAAAAACCCTCAAGAGAATTGCAAACTAAGCAGAATCAATGTTTCTGAGTTGTTGCCGTGTGTGTGTGTGTGTGTGTGCACATATGTCCTCATGATTTCCTTCAGAACAAGTTTGGTTTTTTTTTTGCTTTAAAAACTGAATTCTCTGTAAGCATGTCGCATGCAAACAGTACTGAATTTCCTAGTTATTCTCAGTCTCCGATTGAACTGAGCTTTATTCTTAACGGCATGTTCCAAGACTCAGCCCAATTCCTTTTAGACCACCTCCCACATTGCTTCTTTCCATGTACTTTTCATGTATAAGCAAATATTATAGCTGTATGCTCTCTGATGAGGTCACCCCCTCTTTGTTTTCCCTAAAAATGATTACATACGGCCATTCTGTTTTTCAGCATTTGGGGAATGTTTGCTGTGCAAGTTATAAATTTCCCAGATTTTCAGAGTTCTTTTAGTCCTGGTTTCTATATTGGATTTTCTAGCCCACAGAGGAGATAGAAAAAGATACCTTATTGAGCCTTTGGTTTTTAAATCATTTTATTCCTGAGGATGGCTAAGAATGGGTGAGGCTCACCAACCTTCCCACCTTCTTCAAACCCACCAGTGATGAAAATTACAGACATTTCTTGAGAAACATGGCTATGTTTCATAACACTGAGCAAATGGTCTGATATGATAGAGGTTGCCACTTCCTTGGCTGCTGATCAGCTTTTTTCTCCTAATATTTTCATAATTCTCAAAAAATGTTTTGAGATCCATAATGAATGAGACAGAATTCATAGCTTAGGGAATGTCCTTGGCCACAAAATAAAGTGTCAGGTTCAACATGAGGCTTCTCTGCCCAGATGCACAAAAAAGATTCCTTTGCAAAGGCTGAAAACCTTTTTTATTCTGTTCAAGACAAGAATAAAACAAGAATGAGTAGACCATTGCCATGGAGCGATTCTTGCTTTCAATTTGTAGGAAACGATGAACATTTATGGAGTTCTTAACAGGAGTTGTCTCTTTTCAAATGCTATCATAATGTGAATCTTAATGTCCTTTTTTATAGATGTTGAAAGTGAGATTCAGAGAGTCAGTTCAATTAGTTCAGAGAAGAGCCCGGATTTCTACCTAATTCATCTTTCAACAGAACCACATTATCATTTTGCCTCTCAGGATGGAATTGAAGAGGGAAAATAGGAAGTATAAGAAAGGAGAGGTGATGGGGCACGTGGGTGGCTCAGTCGGTTAAGTGTCTGACTTTGGCTCAGGTCATGATCTCAAGGTTCATGGGTTTGAGCCTCGCATCAGGCTCTGTGCTGACAGCTAGCCCAGAGCCTGGGGCCTGTTTCAGATTCTATGTCTCCCTCCCTCTCTGACCCTCCCCTGCTCATGCTGTGTGTCTCTCTCTCAGAAATAAATAAATTAATTTAAAAAAACATTTAAACAATTTAAAAAAGGAAAGAGAGGTGAAAATCTGGAGAATTATTTCAGAATCAGCCAGAAAAGGTAGAAATGCCACCTTAGCCAAAAATCCCTCTCGTGGAAGAATGGTCCGTAAAGGCTTTAACACCAAACTGGAGAAATGCTTATGCTTCTAGAAATATTTAATGTGAATTTTTGTAATTTTATAGCATAATATTGATGAAGTATGACTGAGTCTCTGTAAATACTTTCAAAGGAGACAAATAATTATGATATTTTACATTTGAAAAAAGAAAAAAGGGTAGTGTTTTCTACTATAAAATATCAAAAATTGAGCTCTTCCAAATTTCTTGTTTTGTGCCAATAGAGAGATACAACACTAATTTATTTTCCTTAATGATTCTCAGTGGGGCCAAAGTCAGTAGTATCTGTGAGATATTTATGCTTAGTCAAAGGGACTGCAAGTATTAGCTTATAAAAATAAGTACAGCAAAAAAGTTAAAAAAAAGAATAAGTATGGCATATGTTAATACGATTTAGCAACTGAGAAAAATGAACCAAATTAATTTAATTTAATCTGACTTGTTCTAATAGCATTGGAGATAAGATATTTATAAAATATATATATCAGACTATCATAATTTTGTTTATATCTCTGTCTAAACAAAGAGAATTTGACCACCTAATCTTCCGTCTTTCTCCTATGCATGGTTAGACTAAGATCTGGCAAAATAAATATTTATGTAATTAAACTTATGAACCTGTCTGATACGAATTTTTCCTCTAAGGCAAATTAAAAGTTTATGTTAATAAAAAACTTTGATTTTTGTTTCATAAAATTAGTTTTCTTTAAACTCATGGCTATAAATCTTCAAGACCAAAAAGAGAGTCTGGTTTGATATAATAGAAAGAAATGCCATTCTTTCTAACACATGTGTCTTTCAAATTGGCTAAAGTTCTAGGTAACCAGCACTTCCCACTTGCAAAATAAGTTGTTTCTCCTGAAGTACTTGGATTTCCTTTGAAACAAACAAACAAACAAACAAACAAACAAACAAACAAAAAACTGGAACTGTTTCATTGGATTACAGCATAAATTAGGAAAATCATGCAATTTTACCTTCAGAAACTAAAATGAAATAGGGTTTTGTTGTACTATTTATTATACATGTGAAATTTAAAACCTGTCTCCCAATGCAACCTATGCCTATGTCAGTAGAAGCTAATAAAAGCAAGTGAATAAATTAGCTGTGTATGCAAAGTGGCTGTGGAATTTTTATAACACGAAAATTTATCTTGGTAGATAAAATTTTGTCTCAGGGTGGCAGCAGAAACACAGTATAGACATCTGTGCTGTTTTCCATCGTCCTCAAGCATGGCCTGAACCATGGGAAAAACTGATTTCAGTTTTCTGATTAGGACCGGAAGTTGCCGGGTCCTAAATCTTAGACTATTAGAATGCTAGGTATCAAATACCACACAGGAAAGCAATGCCATTATTGGCTGTACCATAATGAGTCCTTTTTCATGTAACATCAACCTCATTTGCTACAATTTTGGGTTTTTGCCACTAAAAGCTATTAGGGACAAGTTACATACAAATTTTGCTTCTATTAAAAACTATAAGTTATTCTGAGGTGCCTGGGCGGCTCTGGAGATTAAACGTCTGACTTTGTCTCAGGTCATGATCTTCCAGTTTGTGGGTTCAAGCCCTGCGTCAGGCTCTGTGCTGACAGCTCAGAGCCTGGACCCTGCTTCAGATTCTGTGTCTCCCTTGCTCTCTGCCCCTCCCCTGATTGTGCTCTGTCTCTCTCTCTCTCTCTTTCAAAAATAAACAAACATTAAAAAAATTTTTAAACTATAGAGAAGACAGGATCTAAAGAACTTAGTTTACCTAGATTGTCTAATTTAGGCTACATCCAAACCACATTCTCAGGATATTTGGTTTTAATATAATGGAGGCACATTGGTACTAGGTTAATCAACATAATGCTAATCTCATTCACTATGGACCCTGGAACCCACAACGTTTGTTTAAAATTACAAGGAGACCAAAAGATGGGGCACCTGGGTGGCTCAGTTGGTTAAGTGTCCGACTTCAGCTTAGGTCATGATCTTGAGGTTTGTGAGTTCAAGCCCTGTGTCAGGCTTTGGATTGACAACTCAGAGCCTGGAGCCTGCTTTGGATTCTGTGTCTCCTTCTCTCTCTGTTCCTCCCTGTTCTCTCTCTCTCTCTCTCAAAAATAAAGTTTAAATAATTTAAAAAATAAAACAATAGAGAATTAATCAGTAAGACAGCATGTGCCAGATAAGGCTCATTGTCTCTCAGCTCTATATGCTTCTCTTGCCTGTGTATCTCCAGGGTTAGAAACCTGCTGCCTACATATCAGAAACACTCCCACAATCTTGATATGGCGATGAATAATTTGTCCTGTAAGAGCTTAAAGTCTATATAGAGTCTGACAAGCAGATTTACACTCACAGTGAGGACAACAGGTACAACGGTGCCCAGGCATATAAAATTGATTTAAGAGGCTGGGAGACTTAATAGAGAAAGTAATGTTTAAACAGAGGAAATGAGTTAACTGAGCAAAGAGAGAAGTTCGCATTGTCTGATGAGAAGTCAGGTGGGGGTATGTCAGGGAGGATGTATTCTAAAAGAACAGTATGAGGAAAGGGCCGAAGGTGACCGAGCATGAAGCATTCCAGGAGGAGCCCAAGCATGCAGTGGAAGAGTACATGGCAATTACAAATTAGGACTGTAAAGAAATACAGCAAAACCCTAAATAGCAGTTGATTCTGGGTGATGTCTAAGGTGTGGCCTAAGATCTAAGATCTAGAGTGAGGATTTAGTCAGTAGAAGCAGAAACTGGCATGTCATCAGGTTTCCAAGACTGAGGCGGGGCACCAATAGAGGAAGCTGGGGGAGGTTGCAGCAGGCCAAGGAGGATACATATGCCAGCCAAATACTGAATTTAGGAATTCAAGCTAAGGCCGCTGAGGAATAGACATAGGCATCCATATTGCCCATCGTGGTTATATTCAGCTCAGACGTGAATATGGATGAACCAGCAGAACACAAACCTCAGAACTTGAGACTGTATATAACTGGGTCAGCATGGAGAGAGTCCTTCCTCTTCAGGGTCACCAGCCTGAGAAATTCTCATTGTGTTCTCCTGCACTCTGTTATTTAGAAATAGAACACTAAGTGAATTCACCGCTCTGATCTTTCTTGCAGTGATGACTCTCCTAAATTGCCTGAAGGAGATAACCATATTAGGTTATCCTCTTGATTTACACATTCAGTCATTCCATTAATTTTTTTTGAATACCTATCATAGTAGGGGCTGTGCTTGGAATATAATGTAGAATAAAATAGAGTTTCCTATGTTTGTGGAACTCACTCACTGTAATATAGAATGGTAGCTATGACCGGGTAGAAAAGATATCTGATTTCCCTCAGTTTTATGATGAAATATCAAACAGAACAATAGGTTAAAAAATTCTGGTCAAGAAAAATCAACCCACAGGGCCACCTGCGCTCAGGTTAAGCATCTGACTCTTTGATTTTGTCTCAGGTCATAATCTCACAGTTCGTGAGATTGAGCACCACATTGCAGAGCCT